CCCCCCCGGCTTCCACGGGGTCATCTGGTGTTGCGGTAGCCCCTGCTGTGGTGCAGTTGGTAATGCAGGGTCCTGGGACGCAGGTGTGGATTCACTGTGTATTCACAAGGACTCTTGTTCGCTGCTGTTAAGCCAGGATTAACTGTTTTACATTTTCTGTATTAAATGGAAGGAATATGGGCATTTAAGGTCCAAAGCTGATGGACTTGGCACTTTATTGCTCAGGTGCTGAGCTGCTGGGTATTAAGCACAGTGTGTATTTGATCTGCGTGTGCCTAAAGGCCCTTGGAGTCCTTAAGGACACCCGGATGAGGACTTGCATTACCCACTGTCCCTGCATATGCAGAATTAATGTCTGCCCTCCAGGGGAACTGTGTACAAGGGGCAGGGGCCAGGCAGGAGCTTTGCTCTGTGTCTCCAGCGTGCAGCACAGCTGAGCCAAGGTTTGCAGTATTTGCAGTGGTAAAGGCCAGTCACAAATGACTATTTTCCTGAAACAGGGAGGGAGCTGTGTTTCAGCCAGTGCAGCGGGAAGCCTGAAGAAGCAATACAAAGTTTGGAAGGTAAACATGGATTCAGAGTAAATACCAGAATATTGCTTTATACATTGCAGTACAACAAGGAGGAAGCGGAAGTATTTGTTTTCATTGTCAGGTAAAATAGTTGCTGAAAATGAAAGAACAGAAAACTAGTTTGAGTGATTGAATTGGAGCTCATCCTTGGGCTTCCTTAGTAAAATGGAAATAAAAAGGATGTGTTGGTAAACTACCAGTTGTGTTGTAGCCTCTTAATGTCATTTCTGAAAAATAGCTTGGTTTTAAAATCTGGTTTAATCTACAGCAGGATGCAGTCTTTATAACCTGTGACCACAAGTTTTATTGCTACAAGTTTCTTTGCTTTTGTGGGGGAAGTTTTATTTGTTTATTAAAAGCACATTAATATCAGAGGAACTTATGGATATATGGGGACAGAGATAAGCTGTTGATGAGTAAATGAGAGCTCAGGTCTCTCTGCCTGCAGTAGATAAAATGAATAGAGTTAGGGTGCAGGTCTCTAAACGCTGCTGATAGTCCAGTCGTCTTTGCTAGGGCCTTGTGACTCTGGGTTTATGGCCAGGATATGCTGTTAGGAGGTGGTGTGAGTATGATCTGTGCAGCAGGTGCACAGATGTGCAACCTTGTGTGACCACTTAGCACTGAAACCTGTAAGATGCATGAAATCTTTTTCTGCTTACACTAAAGCTGTTGAATAGTAACCTGCTAAACAATTACTTTTCTGTCATGACAATTACCTTGTCCCGTTATATTTTAAGGGGTTTATGACCTCAGATTTTTGTTCTTTGCCAGCCTTTCAGTTTTTTCCCCAGTAGGTATTTCTGTCACCTCTCAAAGTGTGGTCAGTTAAATAATAGTTTTGGTGTTTGGAATAACTGAGAGAGAGGGGAGATGGGGTCTGGGATCACCCTGAAAAGATCTGTCACTGCTGGAAGAAAAGTTTACTCCTCCTCTGGGCTGCTTGTGCCCACCTCTTCCTACCTTTCTTCTCCCAGTGGAGCTGTCCACAGCTCATTTCAACCGAACCCCAAATTACTGACAAGCAGTTGTTGGTTTGAAATTAGAGTTCAGCTGACCTAACTAGCTAGCCGTGGCTGTAAGGGGCAGTCCCACCTTTAGTCCCTGCCTTTATGCTCCTGCTGCTTTGGGTTCATCCTATGTAGCGGTTTTGTGGCCACAGAGTGAGTTAATATTTTCTGTTGGATCTGCTGTTTTTCAGGGCAGGTTTTCTGATGGATCTGAACCATCACTGTGTGACTACAAGGTCTGACACAGATGGAGGCAGGGACCTGCAGCTGGGGGTGGGAGAGGGGAGCAGGGTGTAGGGTTGCACTTTCCCTAACCTCTGCAACTTCAGAGGGGAGGTAGGAAACTCATGGTGGGTGGGAATGATTATGGGGTTTGCTGATTAATTGCACAACCAGTTATCTGATTGAGGGCTGGGGCGGGGGGAGGAGGTGGAACATGCCAAACGAGATTAGCGAGTCAATTCACTGTTAGGGGAGGGAGGTGTCAAGCTGAACCAGGACACTGTGGAAAAATTGAAGGTATGACAAAAATGTGTTAGCATAAAGGAGCAGACCCTTGATCTTTTGGTGGGATACTCTGTTACGTGAAGAGGTGGTAGTTTTCCTTCATTCCTGGGGAAAAAGCCTGTGAAGCTTTTAGGTTGCCAGCTTTGACACAGCAGATACTGTTTGGTGTTGTCATGCAGCTGGCTGAGGAGGAGTAGTTTTGATTTCTGTAGTAAGATGGAGCAAGAAAGATGAGAGGAGGGAGGCTCACACCTTTGCCTGCCCTGTGGCAGCCTCTAAAATTCCCGGGTTAAGACAAACCCTTGGTCTTGGCAGGTGTGTTTTCTTCAAAGGAGACTTTGCTTTAGCTCACCTCCCGTTGTTTACCAGGAGAGCTAGTTCTGTATCCTACCAGCTTCCCATCAGGAGCATGGCAGTGGCTAGTGCTGGCGTTAAGCCCACTAGCTGGGCTACCAGCAGGGTAGGGGTTACGTTGCAGACCCTGGTGTGTTATTTGGCATTCTGCTGGGGTGGCTCTGCTGTTAGCACACGGTGAGGCTTGGCTCACATACATGAGTTGCAGTCACACCTTTTGCCTACAGTGCCTTTTGTCATCTTACTCAACAGTTGGCTCAGACTTGCTGTGAAATAACAGTGCAGCTAGTTCCTGTTGTAGTCCCTGTAATAAAGGGTACTGTGCATCTTTTTCTGTTGAGGGGCTTTGGCCCAAATTTGAACAAACAGGAGGAACTCTACAAGATTTTAAACCAAACTGAATTGATGCTGCTACGGTTTTGCTCTTCCCTGCATGTCACGTACGCACGTGAGCCTGCCTTCTCCCTTGTGCTGGATGAGCTGGTGTAGGGAGCTCAAGTGCTGAAAAAACTTTTTTTTTTTTCTTTTCCAAGTTTTCTGACACTGTGGTGCTTTGTGCAGCACTGATACTGGGACAAGGAAGTTGGGCTGGAAGAGGGAGTGGTGGTGAAGCCTGGCTGGCAGCATTGTTCAGCAGCAGCCACTCTCAAGCTGGAGGAGTCTCTATTCTGGGCTGAAAACACTACAGTCACTTTTGAACAAATTTCAACCTCATGAATGTTTCTGATGTGATAGATCTTTGTAAGGTGGGGATTGCCTATTTGTAGTCTTCCTGGGACAAAACCAGAGTGCTTTGATGTCAGCTCGCTTTGGATCGTGTTCTAAGTGCATCTTTCCCTTGTGTCCCCACTGCTTTATACTATGCTGGCTTCTCAAAATAGATTATACATGATAAAATTCAGAAAAGGCTGCAATTTATATTGGCTTAAAATTCTTCATTACATTTTTGATGTCTAGAAGGTTTGCTATGGTAATTACTTATCTCTGAAATAGATAATTGCTAATTCAAATGTTATGATTAGAAAATATTGCAATAACTCAATAAGAATATTTACTTATCAGTTTCTCTTGTTTGAAGATCAGCAATTAACAAAGGCAGAGTGAAGAATTTGCCACGTCGTGACTGGAGGTCCAAGGAAAAAAAACCTACAGGGAGATCAACTCAGCGGTATAACTTCCACGTTTGTTAACAGCCTATCATTGCACGGCTTTGGGAGGATCTTTGTTACGCATTCTGAAGAACAGAGAACATTGTCACAAGTACATAATTGCGTCGCCTAAAATTTGATACCAGCTGTAGAGTAGATGGCTCAGCTTCCTCCTGGGATTCACTTCATCACTTCATTTTCACGAGATCAGTGGTAAGTCTTGAAGTATGGTGGTGATCTTTGTTTTGGACAATGTGGGTTTGTATCTGGGGAAGATGATACTGTTGCCTTGCTCTATTTTTGCTTGTTCATTGCTTAGTATATACAGCAAGAAAATATAGTCAGTTGTATAATAAATAAATATTGCTGACATTTAAAAAGTGAGATACTTTGTTGGGGAAACCCAGACAGACCCTTACTAGTCGAGTGTGCTAGAGAATAAAGCCTTTTGTCCTTTTCTTTGCAAGGTATGTATTTGAAGGGATAAATTTCAGATTTTTATTTTCAAACTCTTAGGTGGGAGGGGTGCTCGAGGTTAGCTTTCTTTTCTTAACCACAAGTGTATTTTCTCCCCCATAATTTGATGTGTAATATAGACTTGTAGAATTACAGATTTAGTTCTTGCTACTGTAGTATTAAAAAAAAAAAAAAAACAAACCCAGCAAAAAAACAAACAAACCCAAAACAAAACCAAAAATTCTTTGCTTTAGGAAAACTAATCCTGGAGGTTGGATGGCATCAGTTCTTGTGCTTTCTGAGATAGACTACTGAGTCAATTGTGTGTGAAAAACAAAAAAATAACAAATGAAAGACCAAGCACTTCCCATTTGAGCAATTTTATCACATGCTTTCTCTAGTAGAGCAGCTAGGACAAAGTCATTTCAGTTTTATCACTTGTGAGGATGTTTTCAGTTATGGGGGTGAAAAACTCAACTCATGGGATAACTCACTCTTTTTGTTTTTTTCTTTTTTTTTTTTTTTTTTAATGTCTCTGTAAATATGCCAGAACTATAAAACAAGACCCTTGTTATGTAAAAATTTATAAGGCAGAAAATGATTGAAAAAGGTTAATTAAAAATTAGGGACCATAGTAGGCTGTGTGATATCAGATCTTTGTATGTATATATGTACTTTTATTTACAGATGTTAATTTTAAGATCAAGGCTAGAAGGAGCCGGTAGATACACTCTGATCTCTGTGTATTGTTAAAAGCACAAATCCACAAAATGCTCTCCTTCTTAAACCATTGAAATGTGCTGCAGGTAGAGAATAGAATAGATCAGATTGTTATCTTTATTTAATGCTTGCAGTGACAGGAGTTTGAGAGGTCCTTTTAGTTCAGATGAACTGCAGAGAAAGACCGAAGGATGCCAGTGAGGTACAAGGTAAAATTCCTTCCCAATCCCGAAGCTGGTTAATTATGTTCATGTGCTCCGGCTGACAGTACACACAGTCAGTGTCAGTCCCCCTGTCCATCTGTAGAAAAGGCTGATTTCTGTTGTTATAGAGGAAGGCAAAAGTAAAATAAAATCCTAAAAGCAATGAGGAAAGAAAGAAGTGATAACCCACAGTAGCCGAACTGACAATTCACAGAGCCATTTTTTATGTCCTAATCATACCAGAAAACCAGATGAGACAGTGAAATGTGAAATCTGATTATCAGTATGTTTAATGTTGAACTGCCTTTTAATAGCCCCCAAAGGAAGGTTGTAAACAAGGCAGATCAGCACTGTGGACTCCAGAGCACTGCCATGTTCTTCTGCCTGTACCTGTGTGCTACCAAGCTCCCTCCCAAAGCCAGATCAGACCAGATACTTAAAGCAGCATAACTGCTAGGGTGGTTCTTCAGGCTGTTAGAGAACACGAAAAAAAGTTGTCTTCCACTATTCCAAGATTACCAATGACTTGTGTAATGTTTTTATGTAACTTAGTGCCAAAAGTAAATCTGAATAAAATAATTTTCAAATACTACTTTTTTTTTTTTTTCATATTGTAGGTATAGAGCCTTCATTTTCTCTCTCACTTTCTTGTTGTATGCCAGCTTCCATTTATCAAGGAAACCTATTAGTATAGTTAAGGTAAGCAACGTTATGTCCTTGTTTAAACATCCTTCTACTCCTGTCAAACACGGAAGTAGTCATCTTTTTCAGTATTTCCTTTTATGAAAGGCAGTGTTAAACTTTAACTTGGAATGGTTTATAAGATGAAAACTGATAAAACTAGTACGCAGTGACATTTATTTGATAAACGTTAGTAAGACCACACCTAGAATATTGCATATACGTCTAATCTTTGGGCTTAAGACTTGAAACAGCTACTCTGTTACATTAAGACTACACTTAATTCATGTGAATTAATCTAATTATAGATATTTAAGAGTTTACAGGTTTACATTCGTATGTTTGAGAAAAGTTGCTCATAACTGATGAGTCAAATGTGATAAAATTCTACTGGCATTCACATGACTGTTCCAAGTACTGTTGAGCATCATAGTCATAGTTGTCTGTACGCTTGTGTCGTGGTTTAACCACAGCTGAAACCAGGACAGCTTGGGACTCTGTTCCCAGTGAAGCCGGTGGCAAAATATTATCTAATTCTAGGTTTGTTAGCTTAATCTTCGGCCTGTATAACTTGGCAAACACAAATCAAATCCCCCAGGGCTGTACTGTATATAACTGATGAGTAACAGTGGGCAAAGTAGCTTGGTATTAGTGAAGAATTTTGAAATTCTGCAGTGTCACAAACACCAGTTCACCATAGCATGTTGTTTCTAACCACGTAATTACTCTCTCATGTAATGGTGGCTTCACCCGCCAAAATACTAAGCCATTAATAGTGGCTAACAATTTTACTGATTTCAGTGGGTTTGACACAGATTCATATAGAGCTAGAATTGTTGAATTTGTTGCTATATGGGGATTAGCAGTAACAAGTGAATTTTCCATTTTCAAATTTTCTTTCTGTATCAGGGAGAGCTGCATAAGCATTGTGCTGCTTCACGTGAAGTTGAACTCAACTCCTACAAAGAATATGCTGCCCAGATTCAGCCTGTCAAAAAGCCATCTAATGTATCTCAGTGTGGTTGGGAGCCATTTGGTAAGGGCTGTTTGTTTGGTTTTGTTTTTTTTTCATAATAATGAGCTGATACTCATAATTAGATTAATTGCGTTTTGCTATTTCTTCTTCTTGTGTGGAGGGATCCAGGAGATGTGTATGGGAGGGGTGTTTTGTTTTCCATGTTCTCATTGATTTTTCCAAAGAAAGTTGTGACTTACCTTATGATGTCTTTCCTACTTAAAGTCACTTAAACAACTGACATTATTTTAACTGTATAGCTATGAGATGGTTTCAGTAGATCAGTTTTCAGTCAGAAAATGGGATTTGTCTTTAAAATGTCTATTAAGGAAAAAAAAGGTGAAGAATAAAATAAATAATTATAATTTTCTGCTGTTTTAATTCAAGGTCCAGCAATCATTTACATGAAATCACTTGGTGTTTATCTGAATTGGAACTTTTCAGAGTCCTTATCAGCCAGAAAGAATATTTTTCTCCCCATTTTAATGGAGAAAAAGGGGACACTATTGCAGAAGAGACTTGACAACTTACTGAATAGCTTATGAACCTGGCCCTTCACTTAAATAGAAAAAATACTTGCCTACTTACAATTAAATTTGAATTTAATTGTATTTGAATTTAATAGAGATTTTTAATCATTCCTTGACACTTTTATCACTACCAAGAACATTAGTGAAGTAGAATAGTCCATTCTGTTAATGTGCTAGTCCACTCCAGTCTATCTAGCCATCCATTCTAATTATTCTTTAATTAGCAATTTAGAAAGAAGTCCTACTCTGTTCAAAGATAATTAAAGATCTGAGCTCTGGGTTTTCTGTGGACAAAATTCTGTGTATTAACTGCCTGCTGCAAGGTAATCAGTCTACTGAAATTACTTAGTCCCACAGGTTTCCAAATGTATTGGGATGCAGTTAAACTTGGTTGCTGTTTCTTGTCCCTGGACCAAGGGCAGACCGAGTTTGCTTGTCTAAAACACTAGTTAGCTTTCTTAATGGAGACTTCTGAGCCCCCGTGTCCTCCTTTTTCCATGAACACAGAGGCTGTTGCAAAGCTACCCCTTTGGGATGGCATTCTAGACTTGTTCTTTCAGCTCTGTTTTTCGGGCAACATAGCTGGCAAGCTGGGAGTAACACGGAAAGAAGGAATGGTTTAATAACTGTGACTTTATTCTCAAAGTCAATGGGAGTTGTGGCTCCTTGCAAATACACAAACTGTCTTTCTTGGTACGAGCTCAGGTCTCTTGAGACTAGACTCGGTGTTTCTATCTGGGTGGAGTCCCTCCTGCTCCCTCCATCCTGCCTGCAAGTCCCATTTAGTTGTGATTATGGTCATTTGCTGTACAGAGCAGAACCCTGTTGTTTTTTTTTTTTTACATAAGACTTCTATCTCTGTGCCTTATGAGTAGTTGGAAAATGAAATGTAAAAGGCCTTAATCATTTAAAAATATATATTAAGGTGATTTCTGAAAAGCCTATATGATGATGGATTTTTTTTTTTTTAGCCATTTTGACTGGTAGGACCTCACGCATCTGCAACACATCTTTCCACTTTTAGTAAAGTCCGTTAAAGTTTGGGTTTTCTTTTGTCTAAGGACCTATAAGAAAAGAGCACCTTGTTAATAACTGGTGTTTCTTCTCTTCCAAAATGCTGTTTTGAATAAGGTGGAATTAAGAATGGGCCTACCAATATTTTCCTGATGTGTTACAGGCAAAAGGGTCAGTTTTAGAGGGGTTTTTTTTTTGGTTAAATAAAATGTTTTGCAAAATGCATGTTTAGATCTAAAAGTGCGTATTGAAAATTGAATGTCAGTGCATGTTCACTAACATTTTTCTCGTAATATGTAAAAATGGTTGGGAGGTTATTGGTACATTTAAACTGATAATTTGTTTTGAAAATTATTCTTAGATAAGAACAACTACAAACAGTTACTGGGAGCACTGGATTACTCGTTTCTGTGTGCATATGCAATTGGAATGTATTTAAGGTAAACCTCCCTCTCTTGGAAACCTGCTTTATCGGTTACTATTAATTTATGAGGCTGTACTACTTCTGAGATATTGTCCTTTCCTACTGTAAAGTTTCTGGTGAAGAGAATGAGAACTTGGTTGCTGAAGGAAAAAAACACATCGTCCTGAGTCCCCAGTGGTATCATGCCTGTTGGTATATAGAAGGCTTCTAACCTGCACCCATCCTCCTTGTGCAGGAATGCTTTCTAACTTGCAATCTAGCCTGTCTTTCCTTCATATGGAACATGAAGGAATATATGCTGGAATATACGTCCTCAAACTTTATCAGTCTCCAACTTGCACATGTAGACTAAACTGATTGTCCTGACTTTCTCTACAGTCAAAGGACAGAAGCAGACACCTGCTAAAAAATAATACCAAATGCATCTTAAAATGTGCAATATTGCTGCTGTTTGGAGATGCTACTTTTTATTGGCTAAAACCAGAACCTTCATAACTAGAATCGATAGCAAGGGAGAAAAGTCTCGCTTTAAGTGGCTGGAGACATGTCCCGCCTTACGGGTCATTTGGAAAATGACTCTGTGAGTAAATGACTTCCAATGTGCTGCAGGTGAGTATCTCCCTGAAAGATGGTTGTGCAGATGTCAGCATTTGGCAATTAGTGAACATGAAATGTTTGTTGGTTTTTACTGTCAAGTGCTAAAAATTGCTCATTTGCTGCTGTGAAGGAAAACAGCAGTTACCAGTAAAGTTTCTGCTCAACCACAATTAAACAACACAAAATATTCTTTATTTGTGAAGGCTTAGGGTGTGATCTCATTTTTAATTATTGCCTTTCTTTTTATTTCCTTCCACGTTCCAAGTGGCATAATAGGAGAACGGCTACCTATCCGGTACTATCTGACAGTCGGCATGCTTGCTAGTGGACTCTTCACTGCAATGTTTGGATTGGGTTATTTCTATAATATACATAATCTGTGGTTTTACATAATGGCCCAGGTAGGCACGATGTTATTTAGATACTCTGAGTTTCCATAGTGCTGTTTAGTGTTGTATTGGGTTTTTTTTCAGTTGCAAACAGTGATTAGTGGTTGGATGGGAGGATGTAAGTGCTGGCATACGTTGTCGTTGATGACAGGCAGAAATGATAGAGTGGATAGCCCCAGGTTTTATTTTTGAAAAATGTTTTTTTAGTGGAAGAAATCTTTGAAAACAAATTAAAGTGTTTCAGTCTGTGTCACAACAGTGATCAAATCTTTGCAAGCTTAAATGTGGGCGAGTTTTAAAACAAATGTATTTACTTTTGTCAGTCTGCCAAGACCTGAGTGACGCATCTCGGCTTTCTCTGCAGGAAAATTACATTTATACTGCTAATGATGAACAGTCTCCCACATTGGCGTGGCTGAGAACAGGCAACTTCTGTAATGAGATTCATTGTGTGGGATTTTTCAGAGCACTTGTAGATCTAATCAGGCGTCACAAGAATATTTACCATTGACCTGCAATGGAATTTAGGTCAGGACCAGGATATGGCTAGCATTTCTGAGTCATTTTGGACAGGTCTGCACCTTGCACTGCTGCTTTCTTTGTGTTACTGCAGTAGCACTTTCACCGCTGGCACGTTTGCATGGCATTGTGCAACATGGCATGCAGTGATACTAACTTGGGTACTGCAAGCTCTTATAACCATTTCACCGAGTCGTCCGTTTAACCATGTCACTGCCCCAGCGCTCTTGGCTTATGTGGTTTCCAGGACGGGAGCTGGCTCCTTTAGGGTTAAGCTATCTCTGCCAATGCTGCACTGCGTGATGTGGTCAGTGAATCCTGGAATACCAAGGGTGGTCTTGCACCTCCAGCCTAATTGGTTTTTGTTGGGGAGAGTGAGGTTGTTTCGTTGCATGTTCAAATGCTCGTTGTACGTGTGAATTATTGTATTGTGATCTTTGTGTTAATGTGTAATTCTAGATAGGGAGCTTTTCAGGAGTTGAGATGAGTTAGGGTTATGATCTGTGCAACATGGAGGCTGCAGTAGTTCTTACTTCAGCCTGAATACAGTAAGTTAAGTTTCTCCTCTCAGTTTATTTACAGGTGTCTGGTAAGCATTTTAAAGTTACCCGGTCTCCCCTAAAGTTTTCTTTTCTTCCGCTTTGTTTGATTGCAAACATGCTTTGCCATATGTTCAAACTGAGATAAGTATTATGTTGCTGTTTGAGTGTGGGGAATTCGTTTCTCTGTTCAGTTCAGTGCAATGTGATTTTTGTTAAGCATGTGACTGAATTACAATTTTTTGTGTTTTAAATCGTAAAATAATTGGAGAGATGTAGGTAGAGGGAAGAATCTCCGCAAAGCATTGTAACTTGTTTATTCTTGGAAAAGAATGCTTTCAAAACCCCCCACTAAACTTCTAAATTCAAAGCATTTGTGTAGGCTTCCTTTTCCCAGTGCAGCACTTAGCAGAAATTGTGGAGGAATCTGACTCACTATAGGGTATGTTTATTTATTATTATTTTTATATACTTTCAGATAGCTAATGGGTTGGTGCAAACTACTGGCTGGCCGAGTGTCGTTACATGTATTGGCAACTGGTTTGGAAAAGGAAGGTAAATAATATGTAATCCAAAGTTTTGGAAGTACAAGTCAACACATTCTGGGCTGTAATGTTATAGTCAATTTAAATTATCTTTCTTTTGCTTCAGTGTTTTTTTGGGACAAAACAAGCAGTTAGGTAGATCTTCGAGAGGAGTTTTCTTTCTTATGCTGATTAGTTTATATATTGATTTGAAATATTCTCTCTCATGTCAAAACAGTGTTCTGTGGTAGCTTTTAGTCTGATGTTTAATTTTTCAGATGAAATATTGCAGAATTGAATTAAGAATAATTCTTGCAAATATTAACAGTCTAAAATCACTTTTAATAAAGGCTGTTGTTATGCCATTTTAATGTGGAATTTCCTGTGTTTTCATTTGTGTTTCAAAGCAATTGTCAGGGTGTAACTCTGAAAGTATCTTTTTGTCTAATATCTTTTTTTCTAACACACTTACAGAAACTTGAAAATTTAATTAAAAAAAGAAAATACGTATGGCTTCTGATTTAACCTTTCTTTTTGTCACTTTCTTTAAATCATCTTTTTTTTTTTTTTCCTTAATCCTGCCAAGAGATCACTCATGTTTATTTTGTCATACCATACGGGAGTTTTCCATAAATTTTGCAAGAGCTGCATGCTAAATCCATTGGCTCTGGTAATGGTTGATGCATGTAGCATATAATATAGATGGCACTACTGTAGTGCCATCCATTGTAGATACATACCCTTGAATGAACGTTACTGTCAATCGGTTCAAGAGAAGGACATACAAAAATTAAGTAAATGCTTTCTATATAAAATCACAGGATAGTTAAAAAGGTGTAGGCTCAAACTAGTTTTCCATAGTTCCTGCAGCCTTTTTGGTGAATGTTACAAAATGCAGAGAACGATCACAGTCATACAATACTGAACAAAATTGGCGAGTCTGTGCAAAACAAATACGCTTATTCAGATTTTCCTTTGTGCAAAAGCAACAGCCTTTACTTTTAGGAGGCCGCATAGTGGTCTGGTGGATAGGGCTTTGGTTTGAGTGTCAGTGATCTGGTTCTTGTTTTCATTTTGCTACAAATTCCATGAAACATGAGCAGACCTCTTAGATCTTGTCTTGAGCTAAGGGAAAAGGTATGGTTTAGTTCAAATTAGGTTGCTCCAGGTAAACTCCTGCTGAGGGCAAGGCAGTTTTCCCGTGACTTAAAAGGAAAAAAAACCGTGCTAACTGTCATGACTTCAGTAGGATTTTTGTGGTTTACATTAGCTCAGCTGGAGCTATTCTACAACAGCTCTAACCTGGGATTTCCAGGCAGACTGAAGTTTGATGTGTCTGTTAGCCAAGCTTGCACAGGTGTTATCTTCTACTAGTGCCTAGCAAGTCCAGAATGTGATCAGAAAATGCTGAATTTGCTCTACCTATCCTGTACAGATTGTGTTCTTCTGCATGATAAGTCTAACATAGCCCAAAAGTATCAGATCATCGGTGCAATGTACTTGCAGGAGGACTTTCATTCCCAGAAGCGTCAGACTTTGTGTGCACGTGCTATGCAACATCTGCATACTTGTTTTTATAAAAGAAACTCTATCCAGAAATGTGCAAGCCCTAGTGGTGCCTTTAAATGCCATTAAATGCAGGATGAGTTCTGTCATGCACAAAGAGCTATTTAGAACACTTCTATTAATATTTAGGTGCCTTGAAATTGCCAGATGAAAGACTGTAGCATAAAGAAGTGGTCAGTTAAAGAACAATAAGATTGCAAATATTTCACTAACACCACAGATGAACAGTTATTTTTGATACACTTTTCTCAATATAGTAATGCTTATTGTTGGAATAATAAGAAATGTCTGTGGTGTTTTTTTTTTTTAAACGCAGGAGAGGTTTGATTATGGGAATCTGGAATTCACACACTTCAGTGGGAAATATCTTGGGATCCTTAATTGCTGCTTATTGGGTCTCTACGTGCTGGGGTCTTTCCTTCATGATGCCTGGTGTTATCATTGCTGTGATGGGGATTGTTTGTTTCCTGTTTCTTATTGAACGTAAGTGCTTTAATGGGATAGAACCATGGAGGGCTCATTATAGGTGAAGAACACGAGCTGTTTAAGCTAAGTGACCCAGTTGCAAAGTATATTCCTCAAGCTATGCCAATACCTAAAAAACTTCTTCCTAGAACACTAGATGGAGAAGAACCTGCATACGTCTAAAGAGTTTGTATGCTCAGACTCTGGCATACCTGAGTAACACTTCAGAATTCCGTCCTCTGCCCTGTTATTAATTCCCTGTATTTATAAATTGTTCAAGTGTATCTTAGCAGAATGTCCCACCTGGCTGCAATGTATATTCTGTGCTACCATTCAACCCATGCCATCGTATTCTGTGCTATGAAATACAGAAATCAGCTGATAGAGTAAGTTTTGTCACTTAAATTAGAAATTAGAAAGGAATGCCCAGTCTTACCCTTACATAGACTCAGAGATATTAGTATGAATGCTTATGAATGCTTATTTTATTGTAACTGTCCTATCTCAGGAAGTAAAAAGTTCTGCAGATATAACTAGAACACTCTAATGGGCTGGACTGCCAGAATAGCACTTAATGTGGTCATAGGATGGACAGGATACCATGGAGCACCCTTTTCTCTGAAGCTACAGTTATACATTTCTACCAGGACTACTTCAGTGTTATCTGTACTGTTTGTTTATTATCGGTAAATACACTACTGGTAAGTGTTTTAAGAGATATTCGTTTTGCTTGTTTTCACTATTAACTATGCGTGGTATTGTATTTCAGATCCTAAAGATATAAGTTGTTCCTGCACACCATCCAGTGTAAGTGAATGCTTTTTCTATTTTAATTTTTCCTCCTAATAGACATGTTTATTATGATAGCTCTGGAAATCAGATAATCTGCATGGCCTTTTTGTGCCAGGCTGTTATAACTGACCCTGTACTTGAGGGAATGATTGGTCTTCTGTGCTTCACCCGTAAACCAGTAGCTTACTTTCTATCAAAGCAATGTGAATCAAAAGCTGAATGAGTTTATTTTAACTGAAGTTTTGGAATAGATGATCTTACTACAGTAAACCAAGTAAAAACTGTTCATACTTTTTTTGAGTTTTCTTACTTTCCTCCAGTCTTCCTGGGCATCTTCAGAGCATTTTGACCTATCTCCTGCTGTTGCCTTCCTTGCTTGGATATGGCATAATGAGATAGCTGCCATCCATATCCTGTGAAGGGTCTCACTGTTTGAGAACCCTGTGTTAGGCATAGCAGAAAGAGCAACCAGCCCTTTTGCTGACATAGCGTCAATGAACCATGCATCTATGGGCTCGGGGATGTTCCCTTGGATAGAGGGAAGGACAGCAGGAGCACATAGCTAGGGAAAAGAGGAAGCAAGGGATAGATATGAAGCTGAGATGAAGAGATTAGAGCAGTCAGTCAGTCTGTGACAGTGAGTTTAGTCATGATACAATATGGGCTTTATTTAACCAAAACTGACATTAATGAAGAGCTGTGAAAAGGAGAGAAAAATAATCTGTGCTTAGTGGTACGGGTCACATGACAAATCAATGCTTTTGTGGCGTCACAGAATAATTTAGGTTGGAAGGGATGGGACCTCTGGACATTGTATGGTCCTACCCTCTGCTCGTAGTAGGTCTAAATTTGAGATAGCATCAAATTTCTTAGGGCCTGCCTGTCAAATTTTGACATCCTCAAGGGTGGAGATGCTGTTTATACATAGATGATTTTTTTTTTTTTTTTTTTTAAATATATAGTGAGTTTTTAGAACGCATTGATCACATGTTTTACTGGCATCAAAGCAGTGGATCTTGCTATTGTATGAGAGCTTATACTTCAAGGGCTTAAATTTTGGCAAGGTAGTGAACTTCACTAAGCTGTAAATATACGATCACGTACACAAACTGTGGAACGCATATTGCCTGGATCACAAGGGAAAATGTGACTCTCTTGACACAAGAGTTTGAAAATCCAGCATCATAGATTGACCGCTTAAGGCATTGTTGAAGCAGGATTGAAGTGTGTGTGTGTATGTGCAAATGTCTAAGCTTTCTTTGGGTTGCTGAACATTGCGTGTATACTTCCTTGTGCCATTGTGGCAGCAAAACTCATAACTCTTTTTAATTGTTTCTAAAAGGAAAGCTTTCTCTTTAAGTATTAGTATAACATTGTTCAAACACTATTTTAAAAGTGGGTTGGAAGTGGTTAAGCTCTGGTACCAAGATGTTTACCCAATGCTTTTGAAACAAAAGTTGATAAGATATTTTATGTGCTCAAAATTAAGTAATGTAGAAAGCCATGTCAATGGCGAAAAGATGTGCCTTAGAAAGCTTTAGCTATTATGTGAGAAGATGATTCCTTTCTTGCCTCGTGTAGCTGTGACTGAAGAGGAGGGAGGCAATCCAAACAGAACGAAAGAAAAACAAAAAGCAAGGAAGGAGAACAAAAAAGAGAGCATTAGGAAGACCAGCTGTGTATAACTTCTCGTAACAGAATGTCATTTGTAGCCTAACTTCTTGTAACAGAATGTCATTTGTAGCCTGGTTTCGTTTAGGAGTGTGTTTGCAGGTTCACCTCTGTTTCATGTTCCATAAGACTCTGGTATGTCTTTGTCTCTACTGTAACCAAAACCTAGAGCAGTGCGTTGCTCCAGACTCTTTCTCCTTTGGCTCCCAGGGACCTGCGGGCAATCAGGTCTGCCACATTTTCAGCTAGTTCTTTGGAAGAATAGTAGGGGGAGATTGGCAAAGAAGGTCTTAAGGTTTCCCATGTGTGAGGGCAAATCGGGGCTGTTGGGAAAAGTGTCAGAGGGAAGGTCCCAAGGGAATCCCACATATGTTTTCCAATGCTAGGGGATTATACATGGAGACTGCACGCGTAGGTATATGTGAACTATACCTTTCAGTTGCAGATCTTGCAGGTAGATTGTACAGGGATGATTGCTGGTTTTTTAGCACCACCATCCCCGCCCCGTCCCATCCCGCCCCC